AAAGAAAAGGTCAAAATTGTACTTGTTCCAATAACAATGGAACTTCTATTGAATCTCCACCAACTCGTCTTGATTCAAACTCTCTTTGCTGCTCTATGGCACTGCTTTGCGCTGCACCGAAAAAGTCACCAGCCTAACAAAAGGAAATTCATCAACTTTCTAACTCATAGGTTGAATGGAAAAATGACAAATTTACTTATCACAGCATTTCTCTAATCCCAAAAATTCCAACATTATGACCATGAATAATATACGGAAAGAAGCTAGCATGCGACTATTTTCTCGAATCACATGATTTGAAGGGAAATGACTGTAACTTCTTTATTAGGTTAAAGTTCATAAGGATTACCTTCTGCAGAACAAGCTTATACTCCACAAGTTCATTGTAAGAACGCTGTAGCTTCTCACTATTAGCATTTATCTCAATCAGTTCTGCCTCAAGCTCACCAAGTTTGACCTTTAATGTGATAAAAAAGAAAAACGGTCAAGACATGAAGCACAAGAAACCATTTTAGGTAGTAATAAACTTGTAGGATACCTCAAGGTCATCTATATTGATATCAACTTGTGAAATGGAGCTTTTGCTTGGCAACCCAGCCTTCAACATTTGTTCCTTGAAAAAATTCAATTTGCGTGCCATCTCTCCACATCTTTTAATCTTGTTAGAACCAAGAACAAGAAAGGTGAGTTCAACAGAGAAAGAGAAATGTAGATGTAACTTAAAGAGACAAGTATTGCGCATAGCAGAGCTCGAATTTGATCATTGCCAAACCATTGTATATATCACAGTAGCACAGACGATTGATCCACATTTGGGATATGGGTCGAGACATACCTGTGCAGCATAAGTACGCTGGAACGGGCTTTTTTCGGCATTGAGCTGGAAAAATTAATACATCAGAGTGTTAGGTATAGCAGAATAAATGACAAGGGAAAAAATGTTCTACAAGAACCAAGGGTTAGCAGCATGATGAATATCAATTTTGGAAATGACTACATGTGATATATGAGTTTTCTATTTCAACAGGTAAGAAAACAGCAGGAAACTGGTACACATTGACAACTCTAGTAATGACTCACAACATCAATAAGTATCATGTTCCATCAAAAATACATATGCTATAATATTACAAAAAAAAAAAAAATCCATAAGAAAAATAATATTATAACATGTATAATAAATATATTCCTCCAGTATAAGGATCAGGCACGAGACTAGCCCTTCGTGTTTCATCTGAGATGGCAAAATCCTGTCCATACGGCTAAATATTTTGGGAATTTTAGTTCAACGAGAATACACTCAGCACAAAATGAACTGTTTAAATCATGAGAAATCTGCTACTGTAGTGATATAAACAAAATTAGATAGTCTCAAAGGAGCTTAAAAATATACATCTTAGTTCAAGTTAATTACTATAGCAGCCTAAGCCCACCGCTAACAGATATTGTTCTCTTTAGGATTTCCCTTTCAGGCTTCCTCTCAAGGTTTTTAAAACGTGTTTGTTAGGGAGAGGTTTCCACATCCTTATAAAAATGTTTCGTTTCCCTCTCCGACCAATGTGGGATCTCACAATCCACCTCCTTCGGGACCCAGTGTCCTCGCTGGCACTCGTTGCCCTCGTCAATCGATGTGAGACCTTCCATTTCACCCTTTTTCGAGGCCCAGCGTCCTTACTAGCAAACCGCCTTGTGTTCACTCCCCTTCGGGGCTCAGCCTCTTCACTGCCACATTGTCCAGTGTCTGGCTGTAATACCATCTGAAACAGCTCAAGCCCACCACTAACAAATATTGTCTTCTTTGGACTTTCTCTTTCGGGCTTCCCCTCAAGGTTTTTAAAATGCGTCTACTAGGGAGAGGTTTCATATGGAGCATAAGCACAAAAAATTTGGAGACCGAACATCATGAAGAACAATTACATCAGAGTATAACTAAGACAGTAGGAATTTTGAACTGCTGAATACTATCCTATATTCAACCTTAACGCGGGTTTTAGAGTTCCTTAGTCGCCCATTTTCACTAACTATCAAGCCCTGTTTCCAAGGACAATTCCATGAGACAAAAGATGCTGTCCTACAAGCTGACAATTACTGGAAAATCAAGCAACGAAGCGTACGGTGAAACTCAAACCAAAAAATCAATTGAAACTACCAGTGGTCGCAACAAATTCAAGAGAATTTACATCCTCGTAACACATAGCCATCACAGTGAAGCACAATAAACTAAGAACACTAGCAATCAAGTTCAATCTAAGCATCAAAAGAGTACGCGCAGCACAACCTCATGATTTCGGAGCAACAGAAACAAAAACAAGCATCCAAATCACACAATCTAAGCAACACGGAATTTCTCCCCAACAAAACAGAAATCAAATAACAGGAGGATTAAAAAGAGAGTGCAAGCGAGAAGGTGCACATACATCTTTGAATTGGAGAAGGCCGAGATCACCAAGGTAGGAGATAGTGCGATGCGCAGACTCGATGGGAATGATGAGCTGCACCAGCTGCATCGGCTCGGAGCGGAACAGATCCATGGATGGACAGCAACCACCTCGGGTATCGCCCATTGTTCCAAGACCTTCCTCCGACGAAGATCTTCAGCGCCAATCTGAGAATCTTGATGGGGGCTGAGAAGAATAGAACAGAGACGAATCTGGTGAGGACGATGAAGAAGAAGAGGAGATGAGTTGAATGCTATTGATCGTAGGCGACACGAGCATCCACGTTAACATGATTCCATCTGTTCTGTTTTTTTCTTTTTTCTTTTTTTTTTTTATCCATAAATCGTGTCACAAAAGAATTTCTACTTTTTTTTAAAAAAAATATATTAAATTATTAAATCGTATCAAATTAGTTATTTAATTCTTAAATTTTAAAGTTATATATTTTTTTTTTTTACTAAGAATAAAAACCGAAACGATAAAAAGTTGGAATACAAATTCAGGTAAAGAATATATATTGTTAAACTAAAAATAAATAACTGTCATTTTGTAATTTTAATTAATCAAAATTCCATAAGTAATGAGATTTATAATCACTATTTATTTTATTTCATTTTTATAAATTATAATTAATTGAAACTAAATTTGCATCATCTAACCAAATATTAGTATTAATTACTGTTGATATTAATAACACATTCAATTTAAGCGATAATAATTGAAGGACAATCATAAATATTCAAGATGAACTTACCAAACCCAAAAAAAATGAAGGGACTTTACTAAAATCCTCTGAGAACGTGGATTAAGAAGCAACTTCAATCTCATTCAACTAGTTAAGAACACATACCAAATTATAATATTTATTGATCGATTAAACCTGCTTAAAAATTTAGTAGAATTAAATGATAACGACCAGATACCAACTTAAATTACAATTTAACTGGTTAAAACATTGATAACTTAGATTAAGTATAAAAAATAAAAAAAGTTTCGTTTTTGATGATCATAGATATGCAATTACATAGAATAACTGAACTTAGGATCGTAGTTTCAAACTATAACTCGAGTAGTTCTTGAAGGGAATGTTCGAATCTAGTTCCACCTCAATGTAATATTCTCGAACAAGAAAAAAGAAGACGAAAAAGCTATCATGATATAACTACCTGCAGTCAAAACTATATAGTCATGATTAAACTTAAACCAAAAGATAAATATTGTTACAGAAGGTTTGATAGGGAGGGAGGAAAGCACATGATGTTCTATACAACATGAATAAGCCCATTCGGATGATATGCTTAGATGCCAAATATGGATGTTTTTCTCAGGCCATGGCTTCATACCTCTGAAGTAATCAATCAATATCTTCAAGCTCCTCACATTCTCTTTATGCTATCACCATGGATCGCTACAAATCCCTCGCTTGCAAGTGTTGATACCGCATTTCTAAGCTGCATTATTACCATAACGTTCATAGTTATTATTAGTCAATTTTGTTGGGGGGTGGGGATGTTGGTTTGTAGAGAGAGAGAGGTAATGTACGTTGTTGAGATGGACTTCGTTATCAGGATTCTGTTTCTTCAGCTCATCCAGCAACTAAAGAAGAATTGGAAGAGATTTAGAGCTATAACAAGTGAAGTTCGTGCACACAGTAAAGAGTTAGCAGCAGACCTCTGACAGGCGGATGGAAGGCCCTCCGAGCTGCATTTTCTCCATGATTATATTGCGAGTTGCCGATAATAAACTCTCCCTTCGCATCCGTTCACTTGCCGATACTCCCGTGGTGATCAGATCCATGTCAATGGTTCCTGAAATTGTATTGCAAAGATGCAACATTGAAGTTAAGGTATGAGAGTGAAACCTTAAAGGATTTTTATGAGATCCCACGTTGGTTGGAGAGGGAAACGAAGAATTTCCAATGTGAAAACCTCTCCCTAGCAGACGCATTTAAAACCTTAAGGGAAAACTCGGAAAAGAAACCCCAAAGAAGACAATATCTGCTCACAGTTGGCTTGGGCTGTTACTAATGGTAATGGTATTAGAGCCAGTCACCAAGCATTGTGCCAGTGAGGACGCTAGGCCCTCAAGAGGGTGGATTGTGAGATCCCACATCGATTAGAGAGGAGAACAAAGTATTTCTAGTGTGGAAACCTCTCCCTAGCAAATATGTTTTAAAATCTTGAGGGAAAGCTCGGAAGGGAAAACCCAAAAAGGATAATATCTGCTAGCGGTGGTGGGTTTGGGCCGTTAGAATTTAAAAGAGATTTAGAGGCATCGCCAAACAGCTACCTGTAGCGGTGGTGGGTTTGGGCCGTTAGAATTTAAAAGAGATTTAGAGGCATCGCCAAACAGCTACCTGTAGAATGATCGGTTGCAGACTGCTGCATTGCAACTTCCAGAAGCCGGAATGCCTCAAGAACATCGCCCTTTTCAACCTGAATGCATTAGAACTTATGTCCTGTTATACTGGCTATGAACAACAATAATGAAAAAGGAAAAAAGCAACTTCACTAACCCATTCTGAGAAACGTATACGAGCAAGGGCTTCGCTTAAACGTATTAAACTCTCAATCTGTCTGGGAGTAGCTGTTATGACCTGTCGATACATTAATAAATTCCAATCAGACAAAAAATGAAAAAGTCAGAGAAGTAGACCTCTCCCCATCACTACAAAAAGAGCTAATAGTTTCATAACTCCAAAACACAATCAGATTTCCTTGCATTGGAATGTATTTGAATAAATTTACCTTTTTACTACTGCCTGGAAAGTTTCCTCTCCTCCTCAGCTCAACATAGCCTCTAGTCAACTCTTCAGCTGCCTCATCTGATAATTTTGGGTGAATGTTTTTCCTAGCATAGCTGATGTATGAAGTCAAGGTATGAAGGTCCATGAAATCCTGCTCAATGCCCTGCAAGTTGAGTGCAACAGAATGATGAACAAGATAAATCACCAGGAGCTCAACTATGACCAGAATTGAAAGTTACTCAAACCTCTGGGTTGTCGAAGTGTAGTGCGACAATATGCTTAGCAAGGCGCCTATCTGTTTGCTCATCAGCTTTATCCAGAATTAAATAAATCAAGTCAAACCTGAACCAAAATAATTTCAGTCGATAGTTAAATCTGAAGTCCAAATTAGATGTTATTAAAATGAATTTTAAGCATTCAAGAGTTTCGCTTTATTTAGTATCAATGTCCACCACATCATCAGTTCAAGGTGCCAAACATGAATAAATATTGAGCACAGCAACAGCTCAGCAGGTACTCAAGATAAATGCATGTATACAATGTTTTAGAAACATTCTGGTTGACAAATCAACACTATCTTCTTACCTTGATAACAAAGTAGGAGGAAGGTGTATGTTATCAATCACAGATAGGCGAGGGTTATAACGTGAACCACTAGGATTTGCACAAGCTAATACTGAAGTTCTGGCATTAAGGGAAGCAATGATTCCAGCCTTCGCTATTGAAACAGTTTGTTGCTCCATCACCTAGAAAGTATAAGCATCAAATCTCAAGCCATAAAAAAAATGAAATTCAATTGGGAAATAGACAGCTGATGGAACGGAGAAGAGGGGGATTTTTTTCACATAGAGAATAACAGTGTCACATAGAGATGCCGTCTAAAAACAGTAAAATACTGCTCTTCCTTTCATATAACAATTGTTCTTCACACAGAAAAAATTGAGAAATAACTTTAGATACAAACCCAAAGGCCCCAAAAGTTTAAAGTCCCTTAGTATATTCCAATCTCCTGCCAAATTATATAGAACGTCAATAAATCTATTTCGAAGTAAAACTCAAAGGCACACTAACCTCATGCAACATACTCCTTGCATTTTCAGACATTTTATCAAATTCATCAATGCAGCATATGCCCCTGTCACTCAAAACCAAGGCCCCACTCTCCAGTACCTAAAAGGTAACTCAAAATTCGTTAGTTATCGATTGTTCAAACAAGTTGGACATCAAGAAAATTAGATTCAAAATGCAGTAGGATCCTACTGTTTCCCCAGTTTCAGGATCTTTGGTGACATAAGCTGTCAAACCAACAGCAGAGCTACCCCTTCCACTGGTGTAAATGCCGCGGGGAGATAGTTTATGTATGTATTGGAGAAGCTGAGACTTGCTGGTTCCAGGATCACCAACGAGAAGTATGTTAATATCTCCACGAAAGCTTGCACCGGATGCCAATTTCAATTCCAGGATCACCAACGAGAAGTATGTTAATATCTCCACGAAAGCTTGCACCGGATGCCAATTTCAAAGCACTCCCACCGAAGAGCTGCACAATGAAAAATCAACGCTCAGAATGAGGCAGAAAAAGGTAGAAGTAGAAATGTGGAAAATACCTGGCAAAGAAGGCCCTTCTTTACATCATCAAGCTCCCAAATATTAGGTGCCAATGATCTGGTTAGTCTGTCATATATATCAGGCTTTTTGGAGAGTTCTTTCAACTCCTCCACCTGCATTTCAATCAAGAATATGAGTGCTGAAGATAAGAATGGCCAATAAATGTTGGGCCGGTAAATGCCTTCAACCCCATACCTTCGCTTCATCAAACGAAACATCATCGACATTTCCACCCAACCGGTTCTCAGCTCCAGTTGGGTCTTCAGCCACCATTCTCGACTTATCAGTCTTCTTTATATGAAGACAGTCAATATAAGTCTGCAATAAAAGAGACGAGTACACCATGCTAAGACTACAACAGCACAACTAATAAGTTCAATTCAATTTTCAAGTAAATGTACAAACCATATACCTTGAATAATGATTTTACAGTTCTCTGGGTTGGTCCAATTCTCACACTCATGGCCCTATAAATCCCAGTGACCTATCAAAAGAATCAAAACTGATAAGGCTACAAAGAAAAAAAGAAAAATTACATCAGTCCACTTCATCATTAGATTGGTTTTACCTCAACTCTGTCACCAGGCTTTCCAGTATCAACCAGCTTGTCATGCATTAACAAGCTTACAGTATGAGGTGTCCCTCCTTCAGGTATCTCATCAGGAGTCTCCTGAAGCCGTACAATCTGCTTATCAGCAAACCTAACCCAACGACATAGGTTAGTCATACTTAGTATTAAGTAAACTAAACATGCTATTTCTCGTCCTCTATCCGCTCCTCAATTTGCATGTTTCATTATTAAAACATGATAAAGTAAAATTGAATAAGGATCAACAGATAGACGTTCCACCAGCAAATAGCTGACAAATTTAGTAAAGGTCAGTAGATTAAAATTTTATGCAGAATTATTCCTGACAGAGATGAAACGGTTACGTAGCCTTTAATGTGCTTATCGAGGTTAGAATATAAGAGATGGTACTTGAAACCAACAAGCAAATAATTGATTAAATTTACCTACTAAAGTTTAGATTCAATACGGGCGCATCATACAGAGTAATATATAATTGGATAGATCATGGTACAGTCGGTACAGATTAAAGTTACTTAGCAGAGGATTACCTGCATCGATTGTGAACCAATGTCATGGAGTTTCTTGCTTGGCATTCTTCCTTCAAGCATATAGTGGGTTCAGTTATTTGACCTAATTAGTTCATAGACTCCATTGTCAATACAAACAGAAAACTTCATTTGAAGCATATGAGGCCAATCACAAACAGAAAAGAACAATCCATTGAAACTCAAGCTCACCTCTCTCAATAGCTACTGGGTCAGTGTAGTATCCACATACGAGACATCTAAACATCGCCTCCCTTATCTCAGGAATTATGGAACTACACCGTATTATCATTCCCTTCAGTGATACCATCCTCTCAATGTCTAAAAAAAAGAACCATCAATTGTTCATAGTCATCAGTTTAAGAAAGGACTGGAGATTACTACCTAGAACTAAACCAATCAAATTGAATGTTAGAAACATTACCAGATGGGTTAAGGTTTCTCATTGAAGTAGAAGTTCTGAGATTGAATATCCGAGTTTGAATGTGCTTTTCGAACAATGGGTTGATTTGGGGCACCATTTCCATTAGAACAATGTCAAAAATTGCGAGAACCTCGAGAGGATACCTCACCATCTTCGTGTATAAATCCGTATCGTAATTGAACACATCCTGCGCATCCACATCGAGCGAATCCCCTTCAATTTCAAGAACCCGCTTGATTGCCTCCGCGTATTTTCCCTCGGTATGAAAATCCCCCTCAGACTGCGACGCCTGACGACCGCGGAAATGCCTCAAAAACCGAATGATCGCTCCCTTCACATCGTCAACACTGATATTCGTCCCCCATACGAAGGTCGGATGATCCTCATCCATGTCGTCGCCGTCGCCAGGTTCCGTCGACGGCGGAATATCATCCGTCGATGAAGGTGTAGCAGCCATCGGGGTCGCTCCACCTCCGGACGCTCTTCTCCCACCTCCCTCCCGACGCGAGCGCGACTCCGTAGCCTTCGGAGTAGTTTCCGACGAGACCATTCGAGATCGTTGACGCGGCGGCGTAGTAATTTCCGAAGGAGTAGATGACCGGCGACGGCTTCGACGGCGATAACCGTCTCCTGAAGATGAGACGGTGTTTCCAATGGGACTAGAGAATGAATCACCAGGCGACGAAGGACCTGCAGAAATGAAGAACAGAAAAAGAGAAACGAACCTTCAATTCAGGCCGAATTAGACTAGATACATGAACATTCCGAAAGATACCGACCTGAATTGAAGTTAACTGGAGAAGAATCGGACGCCATTGCAGCTGGAAGTGAAGAAGAGAAATTCGGCGGGAGACCGTCTGAGACTTACACAATGTAACTGTGCATCTGTTCGAAGGCGAAGCGAAGGAACATAGCGGGAGGAAGTAACTATTTTCCCGCCAAATTTGGGGGGCTTCAGACAGAATGGGCCATATCAGTTTTGGGCCTATTGGGCTTTACAACTTCAAAGCCCAGTCCACTTACCAGTGATGTTGGCCATATCAGTTTTGGGCCTATTGGGCTTTACAACTTCAAAGCCCAGTCCACTTACCAGTGATGTTGATGGAAAAAAAAAATATATATATATATATATATATTCAAATTTTGTTGTAATTTGAAGGAAAAGAAAACAAGTAACTCACAAAATTTGTCATTAATTTTCATTTTTTTAATAATTAAATTTTTAAGTATTTACAACAAGTAACTCACAAAATTTGTCATTAATTTTCATTTTTTTAATAATTAAATTTTTAAGTATTTACCTTTATATTTGAGTTTATTACAATTTAGTCCGTGAATAATATTATTACAACTTAATCAGATTTCTTAGTTATTAATTAATAAAAGTTGAATATATATATATTACAAATATTAAATTATTAATTAATAAAATTTAGTTATTAATTAATAAAAGTTGAATATATATATATTACAAATATTAAATTATTAATTAATAAAATTTGACACTTAATTTGATGAAAAAAATGAAAAGTAGGGATGTTACAAATTTTAAATATATTGATTACATTATTACACTAATGTATGGCTAAATTGTAATAAAAACTAAATAGTCACAAATTAAATTATTAATTTCAAAAATGTTTTTTACCCCCTCCTTATTTTAATCATATATTTTATATTTTTTTCTTTTTTTTTTTTCTTTTGGTAATTTTACTATAAAAAATATATTGTTATTTTAAAATAAATTGTATTATAATATATTATAATAATTAGTTATGAAATATATATTTGGTTAATATTTCATTTTAAGGTTGCTTGTATTCTATTTAAATGTAGATCCCTTTAGTTGCTTGTAACTTTAGATCTCACTGGTTGCTGCTTCTAACTTTAGAGCCCTGTTTGATTCCTTCGTAAACAACTATTTTATTTTTCAATTGAGATGGGAGAATTCCTTAACTGGCAAACTGATGAATAACATCAACGTATATTGTCTCCTGCTTAGACTGATAAATCCCATAAAAATTACTATATCCTCTATCGAAAGAGGAGAGATAAATCTGGAGATGCTGATAGTTCCCAAGGAGTTCCAGTTTCATAAAGAATTCTTAAAAGGGGGAATATTTATTATCGAACCTGTTCGTCTGTCTGTAGAAAATGATGGACAATTTATTATGTCTCAAACCATAGGTATTTCATTAGTTCATAAGAATAAGTACCAAATAGTTTGTTGTTTGTAACTTTAGATCCTTATCCTTACTTGTTGTAAGGTTAATAAAAATTGAATTTAGATCCCGCGATTACTTTTGATCCCACCTATGTTTGTTGCATTTTTTGGTCCCACCTATGTTTCTCGTTCTTAATAAAAAGTAAAATGACTTTTTAAAATAAGATTTAAAAAATTTTGTTTTTGCATATAGAGTTTTGAAATTTATGTTTAATTAGTTTACACTATTTTTAAGGACCACATAAGAAAAGGAAGGAAATTAATTTCTTCTATAACTAAGTTTCTACAATATATTTGGGATATAAATTTTATTTTAGGCTTAAAAAAGTGGTGAATTTTTTTTTTTTAAACTTATTAATAAAGTTTTTATTATTTTAGAACTCGACTCAAATTGTATGTCATTGTATCAATAAAATTAGCTACGATATAATTTGAGATATAATCTTAGAACTTTGAATGTGATATAATGCTTTAGAACTTTCAACTCAGATCAAATCGTATGTTATGTAATGCTTCAAAACTTTAGAACTTTGATCAAAACTTTAGAACTATAAGGTGAGAACTTTGAGAGAAGTTAACCCAAGAGATAAGGATGTTTATGATCAACCATCACATCTTACTAAGTTCTAGTCCTATGAAATTCTTATGGAAAGAAGAGCAATACATCTGTGCCAAGAACAATGATGCCTCGTCAGTTTTGATCAGACGCTTGGCTTTCTTTGAGAAAATGATACAAAATAATTGTCAGTTGTGCAGATTGTGTGGCCCAGAGATTCCAGATTTTTGGAAACAAATTCCATTAACCACAAATGCCAAAGGGCTGTAGCAAACAAATCAACCGAACAGCTAATCAACAAGGCGTTGCAATTAGCGTAACAATTTTGGTGGACATAAGATTGATGATTAATTCACAAAGATGATATTCGAGTTAGTGTTCATCATCAATCCAAGCCTTGGAAATCAACAGAAACCATCAGAGCAAATTCGATTTAAAGGGTAACTAGTTACTACAACTACTTACAACAAACGCAACCACTATACTTGTTATTACAGCTATTTAGTATTTACTTCTACGTCATATTGGGATTAGATTTGGTTTACCTTTCTTAGGCACTTGATCGAGCAGAGTTCTTGAATCTGTTCTTGTTCTAATAACTATGCTTCAAGCCGAGTCCGTGCTTGCCGCGGACGCATCCAGGCTTGGTGAACAAAAACGGCGATCTCTTCGAATTATACATCCTCGTAAATCCTCTTTTCCCCAATTTCCTCATCCGCTGCCGTCCGAGTTTGTCGCTGACAGACCACGGAACGAGTTCATCGTCCAAATCTAACTCATCTTCATCATCGTCGTCGTCGCCGTCGTCTTTGTCGGTTTCATCCTCCTCCGCATCGTTGTAACCGTACGCAAAACCGTCCTCCGCGTGATTCTGAAGGAAATAAACATCTTCCAAAGGATCAAAGATCCGATCCTCTGCAAGAGAAATCGGCATGATTCTGAAGGAAATAAACATCTTCCAAAGGATCAAAGATCCGATCCTCTGCAAGAGAAATCGGCACCACGACAACAGGAGAAATCATTTCTAGGAGATCTTCAGGAATTCGAGCAACGACACAGCAGTTTTTACCCTCTTTTTCGCCTCCATTTCCGTCCATTTCTGAATCGGCATCAGAAGCATTGAGGAACTCCCAGTTCGAAAGGCGTTCGACATCTTCCACAAATTCATACTCGAAATCATCGTAAAAATGAAATTCCACAGACGATGAGGAAGAAGAAGATGATGACGAAGCTCCAGACATGGCCTCCATTATCGCTCTGTGAAATTGATTCGAGAATTGGTGGTTGTTTTGTTTTACAGTTTCTTCCTTCTTTTGTTCCAGCGGAATATATAAAGGGGTAGAAATTATGAGGTGTCAAAACGTGCTCACGTGCCTGACGTGCAGTGTCCAATGAGAGAACGCCACGTAGCCACACTATGTTACGAACTCGGCTTGTGCGCCAAGCTTCCGTGCGGACTACGCTTGGTTTGCGGATTAGTCCTTTTTGCGAAATTTCCTTCGCCTCGGGGGTTTTTAACTTTTTATTATTATTATTATTATTATTTATTTATTTATTTATTATTATTCTTCTTTTTGGTACAATAATTGGAATCTTTATGTTTTGAAAAATTAATGTATTTCTTTTTTAAATAAAGTTATGTTGGATATAAAGCTTACTCTCTAATGCATTTATTTCAATTTAATCCCTAATATTTCTTTTCTTTTTTTATAATTTTAATTTTAGTTCATCTACGAGAATAAAATTACAAAAATTTTTGGAAAACGACTCAAAAAATTATCTTCCTGGTTTATCATTCATTAGTCGAGCAATTAAATTAAAAGGTATTATAACATAAATGGTTATTTTCTTTTAAATGAAAGGAACTAAATTGAAACAAGACTAAAATATTAGAGAGCCTAAAAGTAATTATATTTTTCATTCTAAGTTTTGACAGCAAGAAAACTGAACTGTTATTGAATCGCTTGTATCAAAAGATTGAACAAACGAGCGAAACTCATTCCCAAGGTGTGATGGGCGGTGTGTACAAGACCTGGGTACATATTGACCGTTGACCTCTTTTCCAAATGAACCGAACCTCAATAGCACATTCAGAATAGAGATATGGCCAACTCTCTAGGTTGCACACCCCCTTTATCTCGTTCTATTCGTGCAGCCGCCGACAATGGACTTACTTACCTTGCTTGTGGACCATCAGCTGAGCTTACAAAACAAGTAGAAAAACAATATACCGTTGTTCTATACCCGGTTCAACAGCTCAAAGTTTGTTTGCTAGAGATACGATGAAACGAAGAGAGATCTACTGATAAGGCGGTTGAGCCTCTTGGTAACAACATTTCTCTTCTGTACCAAAACCATATGTCTTGGTTTGGGACCCAGAAGTGTAACACCATCAGAAAAATAGAATAATAACTAAATAAAAAAGTATAATTCAAAATGCATGGCCATAATTAAAAACTCTTTATTTCTTTATATAAAACACGTATATTAATTTCATTCGGATATCAATAGTCAGCAATGGATGGCAAAACGGATCTTGAATTTAAGGAAAGTAAGACAAGAATAAGGGCTTTGAGTGGAGCAAGAGGAAGAATTGAATGGAAAAGTAAATGGTTGAACCTTGAAGGTTAAGTTCTACCCTCCATAAACACGACGACGCCTGTACCAAACGAGACGTATTAACCTTGAAAATGCTTTACTTTCTAAAACCCCTCACGAGGTTCCCGATTGGATCTTAACCTTAGTCAAGTTAAATCTCTAAGGAGACCGTCACAATGTAACTTGTAGTTTTGCATTGTAAGACGTACGAGAAAGAAACTGCAGAAACACCTCAAACTTGTATTCAATCGTTATTAAGAGACATGCAAACTTTTGAACCTACGTTTAATGGTCGCTAAGAGACAGTACTTTCTAAAAACCCCCCACGAGGTTCCCGGTTGAAGCTTAACCTGAGTCAAGTTAAATCTCTATCTCTCAATCGAGGAGACAGTCACAATGCAACTTGTAGTTTTGCCCGAGTAGATGTATGAGAAAGAAACTGCAAAAGCACCTCAAACTTGTATTCAATAGTTATTAAGAGATACGTAAACTTTCGAACCTACGTTCAATGGTCACTAAGAGACAGCCA